TATCAACAGTATTGATTTTAACTCTAGTGATGTTGTACTTAATGAATTATGTAAATGTGTCCTAGTTAAGGGCCTAAAGTTTTTGCTTACCTCCCCATAAACTTAAATTCTTTGATTATATGTTTTCCTTTGAGTTCAATTATAAAACTTTGAAATCTGAACCTATTTTCAACAGGAATCTTTCCCGGAACTTAAAGAGCTTTCTAAAACCAGGTTAGAAGACGCACGCTGCTTTGTCTTCATTTTACATCTACAACTCCCGTAAATCCAGTTCCACCATCACTGTCTTAGAAGATACAGCCTTAAAGGAATTAGCTAATAACGAAAATATTGTCGTCACTCAACCTGACAAAGTTACAGGTGTTGTTATCCTTAATAAATCGAATTACATTAATAAAAGGCAATGTATTCTCAACGATAAAACAAAATTCAAAGTTCTTAATGTTGATTGGTTAAAGCTCACTCCTGTTCTAAATTCACTTACTTTCAACGAACTTAGGGTTAGAATATTTTCCCTTTGTACAAGCAATTTCTAAAATTACTAACGCTGATCAATATATATATTCTTTAGTTTCGACATCGAATCTTTATTCATCAACATTCCACTCGAGGAAACAGTACAAATATTCGTAAAAAAATTTCCCCAACAAAAATGAAAAATACACAAGCTTTAATCACCAAAAGTTCGAAAAATTACTAAAACTTGCCCTTAAGGATAATCACTTTGTCATCAATGGACAGATATATAACAAAATAGAAGGCGTGGCAATGGGGTTACCTTTAGGGCTGACTCTCGCAAATATTTTCCTTTGTCACCATGGGTGTTCTTTGTTAGATCTCTGTCCTGTTGAATACAAACCGGCTTTATACAGAAGGTATGTTGATGATACATTTTTACTATTTCGAAGCTCTAATCACATCAAATAATTCTTGAATTATTTAAATTCGAAACACTCTATCGTTAATTTTATTTATCAAACCGAAAAAATGATAAATTTTCTTTTATTGGTATCCAAATCAGCAGATTAGATAACCAGTTTATAACATCTGTTTATCTTAAGAAAATATATACACAGGCTTTCATGCTCGTTTCGGCAATTATATTCCAGCCCCCTTTAAACGTAACCTTATATTCAGTCTTCTCAATAGATCAAATAACATCTGTTCTGACTACCTTTCTCTTCATACCATAATAATCACCTTACAGAGAATTCTAATAAACAACAGCTACCCCTTGCATTTATTCAAGACCTCTCTAACAAAAGTTAACCTCCAAAGAAACTATAGTGTTACGTATCTGCTTGTTTGATAATTTCCCGTAAAAATTCTCTCCGATAAACTTCAGCGATACAAGTCCTTTCTTAATTAAAACTAGTTTATTTTTTCTCGTTACAAAGTTTGTAATACACTTAATTTCCAAAGTCACTTTAAACTTAACTACTTTTATAAACACACGCTATAATTCACAGCGATTCACACACTTTACTTACGGTGCCTACTGCTCGCTTGACTCGATTATCTGTCTCTATATCTATCTCCGGCTTATATACTAAAAAAGAGGGCGTCCAGCAAACGCTGGTACGTTCGTGAGGTTGCCCGCTAAGTCACGATCCAGGGCGCATGCTCCCAGCGTCACGTGACTTCCGCTGTCGTAACAATATACTGAAACTAATACCCATTAAAACTGATTGTCCCTTTTTTAGGTAAACAACGTTTCATACTGAAGTCACAAATTTAAGGATAATTAAATCTTTTTATCCACAGGTTAAATTACAAATGATATTAAAATCACCTTTCAAGATTCAAAATCTATTCAGGTCTAAAGACTTATTACCTATACCTATGCAGTCCAGGATTGTGCATAAATACTCGTGGAGGCTGCAATGCCACTTATCTTGGCAAAGCTATACGTCAATCACACCAACGAACCTGCAAACAGTATCAAGCAGAACTGATGAACAACTATCAAGTCCTCCAGACCCCGCAATTCGCATACATAGTGAAAACAGTAACTACCCACTCTTGATTAAAATTTTAAAAATAACCTCATGTGGATCATCCAATACTGGATTTTTAATTAAGAAGGTTTATATTATATATGAACTCTCAACTTTAAATGATAACACAACTCCGCTACAATTAAGTCTGTTTTGAATAACTTGTATTATTGCACTATTTTATTATATTCTTTTTAGATTTTTGTTTTTTAATTACCTTAAATTTTTAGCCTGTATTTTAAATCGTCTGTACAAAATGTTAGAAAAAGAAATTTGGAAAATTTTTCTACCTAATATTTAACCTTGTTTTATATAGCTTGCTGAAGATGGAATGTGTACCTTCCCAAAGGTTCAACAATTAAATGTTTGTCACTGTCACACGTGTGTCAGATGTTGTTGTTGCCGTAGTACTATTATTCATAACTTACAACACCGTAAAAGTTAGTGAATACGATTTTAAGTGCTCTTCGTTCCTAGATTACATATAAAATTATGTATCCTTAGATATAAGTAAATGAAATTATAAAAACTAATGTGCATGCGATTATCTATGACCATATAATATATTTTAAATTGCCTAGATAATGCATGTCTATAATATTGTATATAGTTGATTAAAATATAGGGTTGTTGAGTAAAATGATATTGTCATCAATGACATTTTATTTCAAACACAAAAATGAATGATGATATTTCAATGTTCGGAAAAATCAATCATAGAAGCCTTTAAATTACACTACAGCTAATTCCTTATTAAAAATTGTAGTGTTAAAAATATAATACTAATATCTTATGAAAAATATTGTTACGACAGGGAAGACACATAACGCTGGAAGCATGCGCGCTGGAGTTTCTAGAAGGATCATGACTGTTCCTGGCAACTCTAGTCTTTTTTAGACGCCCTCTATTTTAGTATATAAGGCCGGCAAATAAAGCGGAGAAATAATAGCAGATTGAAGAGAGCTATAGAGACAGATAATTGAGTCAAGTGAGCGGTAGTGACCGTTAGAAACGTGCGTGAATCGTTGTAAATTATAGCGTGTGTTTAAGTTTGAATGACTGTGGAAATTCTTATTGCAAAGTTGTACTGAGAAAGAATAAACTAGTTTTATTTAAGAAAGGACTTGTATCGCTGAAGTTCTTCGGAAATAATTTTTACTGGAAATTAACAAACGAACAAAGACGTAACAATATTATTAAATGTGATTCATAGGTTGTTGATAGCTAGTCGCGTGATCACGTGAATTGTCAGACAAGCTAGCAAACTGATATCCTATTTTCGAATAAACAGTCGGCGAGAAGGTAAGATAAAGGAAAGTAGTTTTAATTAAATTTTCTCTGTGTATTTATAAAAAAAAGCAATTAAATGGAAGGAACATGGCTACATAACTAAACCTTAGTCTAATTTAATACCATGATTACTTAATAAAGTAATTAGGTTTGATTTTAAGCCTTAATTGTTTTAAAATTTCAATTTTATGTTAGGCCCTCAACAGTTTGGCGTCAGTTCAAAATTCAATGCACAATAAGGCTTCATTTTAATGTTAACTGTTTATATTTAATATTAAGTTAGGTCTAACACTACAGTTAGGTATATTAAATAATTGGTGGTGGTTTAACCAGAACAATTTCAGTAACTAGGCCTAAGTTATTGAAATATTCGACTTAGACACAAGTTTAGAAATATTTTTATTTATGACTTTAAAAAGCAAAGTAGTGGGCTAATAAATTCTGTAATTATATTTTTTAAAAACCTACATAAACCCACATGCACAATATGGTGATAATTCAGAGATACAAATTTATTTGAACTTGAAACAGCTTTTCAGTATTCACTAAAAATTAAAATCAATGTAACGACTCGAATATTACGTAACTAACGACAGAAAGAACAGTATAACACGTTCTTTCCCCATCTTATTTTTTGTAATGATGTCCACCTTTATTTATGTAATATTTGACTAGCTAATTCCACTAGTAGATTAGTAAGACTTGAATTGTCATTAGATTTAACATTAGCCTACCTGAGTACTTATTATTTAGCCTAAAAGTAAAATATCAACGTTAAACATGCTGTAGGAAAGCTGGTACATTTCTCCACATAAATACTAACTAACTTTACATTTTTCATGTATGCTTATATTTAGTTCCGTTACTGGAACCTTCATCAAGCAAGATGCTACATAATTTAATGATACCGATAGATTCTGAACCTCGCCTGATGAAGGCTTAAGTAACTAGAGCCAAAGTTTGCATAAATAAATAACTTACTAATTACTGGCTGGAGTAGTCGTCCCCTGGACGGAAGTTACGTAAATTCATGATTAATGAAAGGTTACTTAGGACATGAAAAGTTGCTTCCCTTATATGTACTTGTTAAAAATGCCCATAAAAACTGCAAAACACAAAATGTGAAACCGCATCTTTACATCGACCCAACAAACCATGTTAAGTTTGGTAAAATCCATCCACATTCTGCGAAGTAGTTACGTGGACGTACAACAGGCAATACTATTAATATTATATTTATATATATTACGACATATGAGTGACATAAACAGTTTGTGTAACATTACAGTTTACGTCACAAGAGCAGTAGAAACTCCACTTGAATCATACATGAAGCTAACATAGCTGCACCATAGAAGTTTCGCGCTGTAACGCTGCCTTTTAAAAATTGAGCTGTAATATCTAAAATTTAAATTATAAAAAATGACAAAAAACAACAAGATTTACACTTCATGTCATAAATAGGAAGCGATATTGTAAAATATGTTTTTCCTCGTAACGTTAGAAAACTATGTAATATAAAATACTAATCACGCTTTAAAAAGCAAAAGTAGAGATAGGTGGAAGCACGTTATTACCAGTATTTCAATTTATTAGTGTAGGTCAATTGATTTAAACATTTAGTAAGCTTTATAAAACGTATACTTTTCTTAGCTCTGTAATTAATTTCTGAAATATTTTATATATTTTTTTTTCAGGATATATTGATCAATTTGTTCAGAACTTGTTGTCAACTTGAAGGTGAATCAAACGAAAAAATAAAAAAAACATGTGGTACTGTACAAGAACAATGGTAAGCTATTGTGTTCATAGACTCAGAAAACAAAGAAAAATGATCTGATGGTGCTGCGATTTTTCAAACAATTCATTCATTTAAGTTTTCCTGGCCTCGCAGCTTAATTCTGATTTTTAAAAAGTTTCATATGGGAAACATCAAAGAATTTAAAATCGCATTTTATTTTCGTATGTCCAACACTTTGCAGTTATTACCTGTTACCTTTGGTGGTGGAGGTTATGCTTTCACCCCTGTGTGTTTGTCAGTAAAATTTCTCTAAAACGACTGAATAGATTTGGACTATGACCCAGCTGTGATTAGTGATTAGTTTTTGGCAAGGCCACGAAAATTAAAAAAAAATCCCTAACTGTTAACATGAGGACTGATTTTTTTCACACTTTTTGCTCTATAACTCAGTCAAAAATGATCAGATTTTGATTAAACTTGGTGGACTTATGTAGAAAATTATTCCTCATTGTCCTGCACAAAATGGTTATTGTCTTATGATAACGACGGACATACGGACTCAATTTCGCTTTTTTTAAGGCCTAATATGATCGACCCTGCGTGGGGGAGGTAAGCGCTCTACTGAGTTCCCGTTTTTTTTTGTTTGTTTTTGTTTTCGTGTAAGAGTCTGTGATGGTGCACTGCAGTTAATTTACAATTGGGGTTTTAACTTCGGGTAGGGTTGTCACTCCTCGATTTCAGATGACAATTTCCTGCAATAGTAAGGCTTAAGTCCTATGTTCTCGATATGTTGACTTTTTCCCCCATATACAAAGGAAGACCTAATACAATGCACATTCTCTGTTTTTCCATGATCCACTACAAATATGTATCCATCTTGTTTACCTGATCCATACAAATTTCATCCACTGTCAGCAGTTAGTAACTAAGTTAAGCAGTATGCTACAATAGCTCTCCATTGTTCGAGTGAGTTTTTCTCCATATATTTCTTCTACGATGGGAACAGTCCCTAATTTCATAGCTTTTTTTCGTTATCGTTTTAGGTGTATGTGCAAGGCATCCTTTTTTCTATTTTGAAAAGGGGCTAGAATGTGTAGTAAATTTGATTTTCATGTTTGTACGGACAAACAAGGTAGTCATTTTATAATCTCCCCAGACTTCTGTGTTTTACTTATGCCAATAATTTTCTCATTTTACTTTTTACATTGAAGCGTTTTACAATTTTGTTGATGCAAGTGTAATTGCAGAACAGGTCTGTGAGCTAAATTAACCTTAACTTTTTTATTTTTAATGTGAGCTTCGAGATCTACACTTTTATTTAACTGAACATTTTTGACAAAATAACACTTTTCAAAATATTTGTACAACTTATCAAACTTTTGTGTATGTATTACAATATGTAATATTAATGATTTCAGCATTTGATCAATATTGTATCATTCTATCGTAGTTAAAATTTTAGTAAAGTACTATTTGTTAAAATATGTACATAAGAGTGGTACTAAGAGTTCGAATTTAGGAATAGACACAGAGGCAGATAGGAAGGGGAAGAAAATGCTTTCAAGTTAAGCACTAAAACTAGTGTAGTTTGGAGAGTTTTAGAGCTGTTTTTCTTCAATTTAGTAAGTTGAGGATAGTATTTAAAATTTTGAAAGTGTTTATCATACCTTAATGAATATTGACATAAAGAGAACGCCGGAGTTGACACAACAGCAACCTGAAACGTTAAATGTATGCTAAACATCGATACAGAACATCTAAAATAGTTTAACAAAATTTCCCAGTTGAATATTAAAAGTTTTTCTTCTCCATCTTCCCCATTTATCCTTTCTGCTATCAGCTACAAGTGTACAGAAAGATTCGCGAATGTGTTGGCTTATTGAAACATACCTCTTTGCTCATGCGCTTTAGTATGTGTTGCAAAGTCTTTTTGTCTAGAGGCAGTCCAAATCCTGGAAAAATGTGAAAAAAATGTGCAGAACTTTTAAATAGATTCCAGCAGAGAAATTTATAAATCTGTGCGATTCTACTGAGTGTCTTGTTTATTTAATGTCTGCAGTAACGATGGCTTATCATAATTCTGTTTACAAGGTATTAAAAGCATGCTCTTTTGAATGTCTGCTTGTCATTGCAAAACTTGTTCATAATATTATAAACAACAGCTCAAAGATTTCTGTTGTGGGAGACAGTGTAGACGTTTGTGTAGCAAGGACAAAATCGTTCATGCAGTGGTAAAAAACAACAACAACTGTGATCCTGTCAGTAACATTGTTTCTGAAAGAATAGGAACCTTATACATAAAAAAATAATACGCGACAGCAATACAGTTGCAACAATAAGTTAATAATCGCTAGGGTACATGTGTCATGCCTGCTATATAAACATTAAATTACATCCACGGCCTGCACTCAGCCATAGATGATTGCATGTAGTAGATTATGAAGCTCCATATAAGCCACATACAACATTAAAACGATTGGGTGTCAACGGTTATACAGCCGCTGTTATTTATTAGGTAATAAACTTCAACCTACAATAAGGTTTTATCACAATACTCACAGCCATTTTTGCTGTAGGCTGACGGAACAATATTAAATAACAATAAAGAATACATGGGTAATCCCTATTGTGAACCAGGGTTCTGTGGTTCATGATACAAGTGATTTACTGCCTGTACTGCTGAGCTAACCCTCTCATTCTGTCTCAACCAAACACGCATAACTCTCATGTCACAAAAATCTGTAGTTTAACTATCCTCATCTGCTTACCTTGCATAAACTAATTCTTTTTTTTTCTTTCTAAATCTATATATCTGCCCCCACAGTCACATAATTTTCGCTATCATCTTGCACTGAACTCCCTTATTAGGATATTTTTTTTATTTCAGTTCACTCTCGCTGTCTTTTCTACACATATATGGATCAAATATCAAGGATTGATCTCTATAACAGTGGGCTTATTTGTTTATACTCCCCCCTTCTCCCTATATATATATATATATATACATATAACGTTTCTGTTCTTTTATTTCTTGATCTGTCTGTCTTTTAATAAATTTTGAGCTGATTCATATTCCTCATTAAGCGTAAGAAAAATATGTTAACTGTAGTCATATTCAATTGTTTTCATTTCGTTGCTTGAATGAGTTTTTTTTATTGAAGACGCACAGAAAATGACATTAAAACTGAAAAGTCATCTAAGATAATTGATTATAACCGTTTTATGTTTGTTTTACTCACCTTTTTTTATCAGTTTAATATATTAGAATCTCCTAACACAAGATTTGCTTTTTATCAAACATGCAGTTTGATTTGGTTTTTGAATTTCGCGCAAAACTACACGAGAGCTATCTGCGCTAGCCGTCTCTAATTTTGAAGTGATAGACTAGAGGGAAGGCCAACCGCCAACTTTTAGGTTACTCTTTTACCAACAAGTATTCGTCACATTATAACACCCCCACAGCTGAAAGAAGGAGTATGTTCAGTAACGGGTATTCGAACCCCTAGATTGTGAGTAAAGCGTCCTAACCACAGGCTATCTACTCAGACAGTAAAACGAATCTTGCTCAAGTTATGAAACTTATTTCGCTATTAATAGACATGTATAGCAAAAAATATCTAATAATCTGTAATCTGTAAACAATCACGATATATACATCAGAAAATTATTATTATTATTATTTTTTTACAGATGCTTGGAATGAAATTAGTGGTCTTATTCGGAATAATTGTAACAGTTTCCCAAATATCATGTGAGCCAATCCATGATATCCCGTGCAATAGTAAAACAACACCGGACCAAGAAGACAAAAAGAATAAAACAATAGACATCAATTCGCAGTTGAACATCCTCTCAGAGACCATCAATGGCTGGATAAAGAATGTTCGCTCTAAAGTAAGTAGGAATGTAAAACCTTCAAACAGAGCAGAACCTTTTCCGAAGTCAGTTCAAAATGTAGGAAAACTAGCACAAGACGAAAGAGGAAATTTTTTTATCACAGCCAATCTCAGAAACAGAAGTGAATAGTAAAAACAATATAAATGCAAAAAAAGACCAATCATTTAATTCTAACATATTATCTAACAATAGTATAATGTATACGAGTACTATCAAGTCTCTAAAGGATGGAAACTCAAATGAGAGGACCATAAGTGACAATGAAAAAACGGACCGTGTCATTGTAATGGAAACAACTGACTTTGTTCGGCAAGACTTAGCCAGTGATCCTTACCACAATTATAAGTATATAAATCAAGTTCACTCTGGACGTAAACTACGAAACTTGTTAAAATCAAGACAAAGTCAAAACTATCTTAAAACAAGAGACAATTCAAACCAGACAGAAGACGAACTTGATCCTATTATGACCGGACCACCAGTTGTACGTTCAGTCGACAACCTTCTTTCAACCACCAAGGAAAAATACCGTGATAGCCCAATGCTACCTGTCTTTCGCAAACTCAGCAGTAATTTATCCCAGAATTACACATTATTATCAAATTCTGAAATCAACATGTTCAACAAACGGTCTGTATTTCCCGCCTCTGATCAAGATGATTCAGATCCAAGTCTCAAAAGGTTTCGAAGACCAATAAATCAATAATTTACAATATAAATATTAATAACGCTAACTACTTGAAAGTTAGGGAAATATAATTTCAAGATCATTTCACTAATTAAAAAAATCACTTCAACTGAATTTCGAAAATTTCCATGATGGTTTTTTGTTAGTAATTAATGCTAGCAAACTTCTAAAAAAAGTTGCTATGTACTTACCTTTTTTCCATATAATCCTTAAATCAGAAACTACAAAACTTACACATATTCTCAAGACATGTGTTAATGTTAATCGTTTGTAATTCTTATTACAATAAAAATTCATACAAATTTTCCATCAAACTATATTCAGTTATGTACACTAGCTTACATTGGAGGTCAATAAAAAAACTCCACTTGTTCTTGGCTGTCGTCTTCATTTTGCGTTAAAAAAGAGAGTAATTATCGGATGTATGTTAGCATTTGAAAAAAAAAAGAGACACCTGTTCTACAATAAAGTGTTTCTTGTGATAAATATTTCTCGTCAGTCTCGCGATTTTTCAATGTGTAATACTTACATTTTCTCTAGATTATGCAGCTTATGTAAAATGCCACGATTTATAGTATAAAGACGAATTAAGATTTATTTGTAAATTATTCTTTTCTTCACTGAAACATAGGTGAGTAAAACGAAGAAAGTATCCGCGAACATAGATATAAATAACACTAGGTTGCCCAGTCACTACTCTTTATTATTGAGGGCCATGTGCGCATGCGGCCACCATTGCTTTGTGTTGAATTTCGAACTGGCAGATAATGTAAAATGGCTGAGAGTGACAGTCGTACGTCTAAGTCACGACCGAAAAGAACGAAGGGAACACAGTGCTATGCCACTAACAGTTACACGTACCGAAACTAAGAGTCGAAGGTGGAGAATGTTACATTGTACAAGTAAGTAAAACTTTTTTTTTTCTATAATATATTACGTTACAGTGGGCAACATCGCCGTGGACATGGTGGCGACATCGAACTGGCGTGGATGTTTACATCTAGTTTCAAATTATATATGCGAGTCTATTTTGGAAGGAATTTCACTTACACAAGTTGGCATGACAGTTTAATAGCTTTTGATTTGAAATGCTGACAATACTAAGTACTCACATAGATTGAAATAATCATCCACGACATTCTAATGTTGCCTGCTGGCCAGTTAGGCCATACAGAGACGCCGCTAAAACATACACTGTCTACAGATACAAGTTCTGTGTACATTCACTTTTGATGCTATCACTGAATGTCAAGATAGAAGTTTATTAAATACACGACCTTGATTAATGGATTGGAGAAGAAATTTGGGTTATTTTGTTATGGCTTAAGAGTCGGATCAGTGACGTTATGGCTTACCCGTCAAAAGATAGGCCTAATACTATCAGTAGATTCATTCTCAGAATTCCTTGAGAGATTAATATTTTTTTTAGGTGGCCCCTTCCAGTCCAAAATTCTTGAGCTGTCAGTGTCGTTATGATAAATAATCAGTATGTAGTACAAGTGGCCCAAAATAGTTTGTGTTACTTGAACAAAAGAAGAACACACAGTAATATAACTGTGATATATATAGAAGATTGCTTGTAACAGAATGAGCCTAGTTTTATAACAGTACTAACTGGAGAACCCGTCCTTTGGACGGAAGTTATTTTAATTCATGATTAATGAAAGGTTATCTTAGGAGATGAGAAGTTGCTTCCCTTATAATTGCTAAAAAAAAGTCCATAAAAACTGAAAAACACAAAGTTTCAAACCATGTTAAATTTAGTGAAGATCCATCCAAGGAGGTGAGGTAGTGGTAAAAAATGCAAAACTGAAAATTTATATGTATCTCCTCATGGATCCAACAAATCTTCATGCCGAATTTGGTGAAGATCCATCCACACCCTGGAAGCAGTTACATGGACATACAACAAACAGTACTATTATATTTACATAGATATGTACATGCCTTTCTATTTTGTTACATTCAACTCTAACGTATGTGTGTAACGAATTTATTATTATGTATTTATTTTTAATATGAACGTTGTTTGGATTGAATTTGTATTTAGAAATATGCGTGACTTGTAGTACCAGATATGTGTTGCATATAACAAATTTGTTATATATTTATTTTTGATGTCAACGTTTGTTTCGAATAGGTTTAAATTTGAGGGCGTGTCTAGCTTACCATGTTAGTTACGTATGGCGAAACTTCCGCCAATTCTCCAAGGTTGTAGAATATTCGTGAAGACAGGATTCAACAATATATCTACTTCCAATTAAATATATTTCGGTAGTTGTCCGAAGTTTCGAGAAAATGTGTCCCGCCTATAAAAACGGAAGAGCAACGTGCCAAAAAACAACAGAAAAGAGAGCTAGAGATAAGTCTGCTAGGAAACTGTTATAACTGCCTATGCTATAAACTGTGATTCTGCTAATCCTTATCAGCTGGAAAATATACAACATTTGACCAGGAACAATTATAAATTTCGAAAGTCAGTGGATTCTCATCGGACGTTAGTATTTTTTCGAAAGTATTACAGAATTCTCATCGACATCAGTAGTTTTATGAAAATATTATTTTACTTCAATGGTCCAACAATTCAGTGTCTGACAAAGCTAGCTAGCTTCCCGACAATTGAACGTACATCGACTTCAAGTTAACTTGCTGGATATCAAGGAGACTCTGAACTAGGAAGAAGATTTTAAGTTATTACTGAAGTTAACATCAGTTCTATATATCAGATCAACTGTAAACACTATTTTCATGCTTTAATCTGTACGTGTCTTGTACTACACTGGTCATAAATGATTTTCATGTAAAATAAAATGTTTTGCATAATCAAGTAACCTGACTTTGTTTTGTCGATATTCAAAGGTGAATCCAACTATGAGGAATGATATTTGTTCTTAACGACAAGGTGATCTTGAAAACCAATATTCTAATGAGGAGAATGGTAGCATTTTGCCCATTCAGTCATAACTCGGTAAAAAGAGAAAAGGGGAGTCTTTAAAACAGAAACATTGCAAAATATATTGTATTTAGATCTAGTACAATACATGTAATGCATCATTGATGAAAGAAGTGTAATGATTTGTGTTACTTCTTTTGGACTTCATGTTGTGTGTGTGCATATATATATATATATATATTATATATTCAAGCATTTGTATAAATTTTTACAACAAATAATCAAAGAAATTCGAATTAATTTTATTATATTTATATCATAAATTATCTTAATTATTTCCATCCACTTCAATTCAACTTGAAAACCAATATTCTAATGAGGAGAATGGTAGCATTTTGCCCATTCAGTCATAACTCGGTAAAAAAAGAAAAGGGGAGTCTTTAAAACAGAAATATTGCAAAATATATTGTATTCAGATCTAGTATAATACATGTAATGCATCATTGATGAAAGAAGTGTAATGATTTGTGTTACTTCTTTTGGACTTCATGTTGTGTGTGTGCATATATATATTATATATTCAAGCATTTGTATAAATTTTTACAACAAATAATCAAAGAAATTCGAATTAATTTTATTATATTTATATCATAAATTATCTTAATTATTTCCATCCACTTCGATTAAGAACGTTGAATGTTTGGAGGTGCAGATAAGATAAATGATACATTATACATTCTTCATATAACAGGTCGGATATGTGTGTTTTGTAAAGGATTTTGCACAAATTTATAAGTTAAAATCTGGCTTAGATCATCTTGGCTTGACAAATTTATGAAAATCAAATAAAAATTATCTAAATATCTAATTTAGATGAAAAACAGCCATAAGTTGGGAGGTGAGATCGCCTTGCTATTGTCAGTTCGACTGGCATCCTTTGAAAGTTCAGCACTTAGCAATGGCAGCTGCTTACGCATGCCGAAAATCTCGTGACTTCTAACTATGTATATGTCCAGTGATTAAGGTAGAGCCCAATCTACTCTGTTTCGCTACTTCCTCTGTAGTTGAGTTTATGGTTTCATTGTAAAGTGCTGCTTTGGAGAACAAACCAAAGAAATAATATAGACCTCCTTTCTTGTGGAATGTGAACAGTTTGTAGCATTTGATAGAAAATCTTTTATTCATTACTAATAACCAAAAATACTTCAAAATTTAGAAAATGTTAAAAACTTTGATATGGTTGTTATTTTACTGCAACTAGGCAAAAAATAACCGAATATTGGCACGCTAATGCGACACGTATTTACAACAATTTTTTCATAGATACATTTTGTAAAGCAATTTTTTTCATTATATATATATTGTATATTTTTGAATATTTTCAATTGTTTACATGTGTTTTCATAAGACCATAATTCAAACCTGCATCGATACTCAGCCTATTATTTACTCAGCTACATGTGACATATATATGTCAAATGCTCATATTTCTGTAAGATAAATGGCTTCAGAGCGTAAAAATAAAATAAATGAAACCATAAATTTATTGTATAGTCCCCCCCCCCCAAAGAGTCATTGCAATGCCTCTGGATAAGCGGAGTCTCGCTGTTACTTATCTTGGATACTGTTACGACAGCGGAAGTCACGTGACTATGGTGGCAGGTGATGAATTTCTTGTATGATATGGGAGGCCCTAGTGTGTGCGAAACGCCCTCTTCTTTAGTATATAAACCTGGCGGATAAAGCCTGCGAGATGGAATGAAGAGAGTTCCGGGTAATTTACTATTCTATTTCGAGCTAGTGTGTGTATGTTTTCGAGATTGTGAATCACTGTGATTTATAGCGTGTATTATAAAAGTAGTTAAGTTTAAAGTGACGAGAAACGTACTGATTGTGAAATAACTGTGTGCTAAAAGTTTGTATCGAGAAAGAATAAACTGGTTTAACCAAGAAAGGACTTGTATCGCTGAAGTTTCTCGGAAAGAATTTCAACAAGAAATTAACAAACAAGCAGATATGTAACAGCATATTTGATTAGATGCTTAAAAACTTATCAGAATTATATTAATCATTACAAATCAAAAAGATTAGACAACAAACAATATTTAAGCACTTAAGGAATAGTTACATATGTTTTCACCAATTAATATATCATTACAGTGGAAACC